CCTCCCCCCCGGGCTCTGTCCCCTCCCCCGGGGCACCCCTTTGTCCCTGCTGGGGGACAGCCCCCCGCCCGGGGGGCACAGCCATCAGCCCCTTTGTCCCCCCACTCTGCAACACAAAGGGCACCTGGCGCCATCGCCCCGAGCTGGGGGGTCTCCCAGACCAGTGGCTGTACTGGGCTGAACTGGGTGGTGTGGCCCCAGACCCAGTGTCCGTACTGGACCATACTGGGTGATGTGGTCCAAGACCAGTTTCTGTTCCGGGACAAACTGGGTGATGTGATCCCAAACCAGTGCTATACTGGGACAAACTGGGTGATGTGACCCCAGACTAGTGTCTGTACTGGGTGATGTGGCCCCAGACCCAGTGTCCATACTGGACTGAACTGGGTGATGTGGTCCAAGACCAGTGTCAATACTGGGCCAAGCCAGGAACGCGGTCTGAAACCAGTTCATACTGGGCTGAACTGGTGATGTGGTCCCAAGCCAGTGTCCGTATTGGGTGGTGTGGCCCCAGACCTGTGTCTGTACTGGTCTAAACTGGGTGATGTGGCCCCAAACCAGTGTCATGTCTGTCTGAGCCAAACTGGGTGATGTGGCCCCAGAGCGGTGTCTGTATTTGGTTGAACTGGGCGCTGTGGTGCCAGACCAGTGGTCAAACTGGGCTGAATTGGGGTGATATGGTCCCAAACCAGTGTCCGTACTGGTCTGAACTGGGGATGTGTTCCCAAACCTGTGTCTGTACTGGACTGATGTGGGTGATGTGGCCCCAGATGTGTCCATAGTGGTCTGAACTGGGTGATGTGGCCCCAAACCAGTGTCGTGTCTATCTGAGCCAAACTGGGGGATGTGGCCCCAGAGCGGTGTCTGTACTGGGTTGAACTGGGCGCTGTAGTCCCAGACCAGTGGTCATACTGGGCTGAATTGGGGTGATGTGGTCCCAGACCAGTGTCCATACTGGTCTGAACTGGTGCGGGGGGTGGGTGCCGGCCCGCAGCCGTCCCAGTCCCGCACTGGTGCGCACTGGGGGAGCCGACCCGGCGGGGGGAGGGGGGTCCCGGGCCGGATTCCTACCGAGCCGGGCGCGGTCCCCCCGGGGCTCCGCCGTCCCCCGCCCCCCGCCCCGTCCCGCTCCGCCGCACAAAGGCCGGGGGGGCCGCGGCCCGGGGGGACAAAAGGCGGCGGGAGGGCCCGGCCCAGCCCGGATCGCGGGGCGGTGGGTACCGGGAGGAAGGGGGCGGCGGGGCCGGGTCCCGGGGACACCGGAGCCGAGCCGGGCAGGACCGGGCTACGGTGAGAGCCGAGCCGGACCGAGAGGGGCCGAACTCAGCCGAGCGAGGCCGAGAAGAGCCGGACCGGGCTGAGCCGAGCCCAGCGGAGCCGAACCGGGCCGAGCGGAGCCGAACCGAGCCGAAAGGAGCCGAGCCGGCCCG